ATATATATATATGTTAAAGACCAGTTGCAATATACTCTAGCCACACCAGACTTTTCCTTCTTTCCCAGACACACACCTTACATTTTTGCAACTTCATTCTTATGCTCAAGCTGCTCCCTCTACCTAGAATAACCTTAATAGTAACTGACCTACCTGAATTCTATCCATCCCTCAAGACCAAATTCCAAAATCACATCCTCTGTAAAGCCGTCCTTCACTGGTTACCAAAACAGAATCTTTCAGTCCCTATCTGTTTTATAATATGTCTTTTTAACACTTACCACACTGTTGTGTGGTTTAATATAGTAAGATTTTGGAGGCAGAGGCTATATGCCTTCACATCTTTGTACCACCAGAACATAACCCAGATTCTAGCACACAACGAGCAAAACAAAAATATCTGCTGAATAAAAGAATCATTTTGGTTCTGGTATTCTCTAAAACTGCACCTGTCTACTTTTGTTATTCATTCACTCATTCAGCAAGCACATATAAAGTCCCAGCTACTACAGAGGCTGAGGTGGGAGGATCGCATGAGCCCACAAATTCGAGTCCAGCCTGAACATAGCAAGGCCCTGTCTCTAAGAAAAAAGAAAAAGAAAAGAAGCAGCTAACTGCAACAATATTAAATAAATAATAGTCTTATTTGATAAACGCTATGAAAAAGGTCTGAACAAATGGTTATTGTAGCCCCTGTGAAGACCTAACAGTCTGAAAGTTTTACAATGGGACGTCAGACTCTCTTAGACCAAAGAATCCATAATTCACTTCTTTCCTTATATTAATAAATAACCTTCTTCCAATGCTCCTTTTTATTTTCTAATAGTAGTAAAAATAACTTACCACAGGAATTGGAAGCATATAATGCATCCAAATACTTATCCTATTTGCTCTTGGAAACAATCCCACAGTTAGGTTGTGCAGGAATCATTACACCCATGTTAAAGAGGAAAAAACTAAAGCTCAAAGAGAGATTTTATTTATTTAGTGTTTATTTACTGTCTGACTCCTCCCTCTTCTCACCCAACCCTAATCAGTCTGTAAACCTCAAGAAGGAAAAGACTTTTGTTTTTATTGCTTTTCCCTCAGGGTCTAGAACACTGCCTAGAACATAACAGGCTTTCAATAAATATCTGTTGATTGAATGAATGAATGGGATTTGGAAATGAAGTAAACCAACAGCAAAAAACACAAGGAAAAAATTCTTTTCCGTTATGATGGCATAATAAAAGAGAGATTTAAAACAGGCTTCTACTAGTTAGAAAGGCTAGACTACATAATTGTATTGACTCAATTCCATTGGCATGTTATGCATTTTACCTAAGAAGAGTTTAAGTATGGGAGGTGAAGTAGGTTTCTATTTCTGATGTCACATTCATGGCATGTACTGACATAAATCCAAGACTTAACTGCAGGTTTGAAACTGATTAAAAGTTTTTATTAAAAGCAGAAACTAAAGAAAGCATTCTCTTGAGTCTTGACGCTTTGACCAGAAAAATACAGTGTCTGAATTTCAGTTCTGTCTTCTATGTTAGTTTCAGCAGCCAAAGCTATTGTATCTATGTTCTCCAAGATACTTCTCTTAATAAACCTTTTAGCAAAAATTAGTCACAACCACAACCAAGTGACTCACCACCCGTTCACCACAAAGACTCCAAAAAACTGCCATTCTGCCTAGGCACAAGGTAATCACACTGTATTGGAAGACAAACTGATGGCACCAATGTTCAGTATGACTTACGGGAAAGACTGTTTATGGTTCTAGAAATTCCAGTTCCTTATAAATCAGTTTGCTCTGATTGGAAAATATTTCCATTATTTTTCTCCAATATTTAGACTACAGCAAATTAAAGCTGTTGGTGGTTGTATGATTAGTAGCTGTAGTAAGCGTGAAGTAATGGAAAGAGCACTAGACTTGGAAGTATGGTTTACTCTGCTTTTTCCATATCTGGGTTAAAGTATAACCCTGGGCAAATCACTTAACATTTTAGAGGCTAGGTTTTAGCAGCTGTAAAATGAGGAACAACCACCTCAGTGAATTGTAGTGAGAAATAAATTACACAATGTGTAGTAAGTTGTTAAAAAAATTGATAAAATTATGTTTGAACAAATAACTGCCAGTCAATAGCAAGTGCTCTTTCGTAAATTATTTGTAAAACTTCTAGAGCAATTCCATGGATGCTTCTTCAAAGCATAGCCAGGAAAACATAAAAGCCCCCCTACTCATTGCTGGGTAAAAAATTAAAGAACCACATTAAGGACCTACCATCCTTATACAATATTACTAAAACAATCTGGGATTCTCAAGAGTAAGTCACTTCCATTATGAGATACCAAAGTAATAATGTGAAAAGGGCTTTATTTGCCTACTGGGCTAGGGTGGAGAATTAACCTATATAACTCCAATAACCTTCCCTGATTCAGGTAAAGAGATCCTGGCTGTTCTCCATTCTAGAGACTTGAAATGCTAATTAATCTATTTTTCAAAAGGGGTATTTGCAAAGGCCTTTAGAAAGCTTTACTTTACCTGATTCTAGCAATGCAGTCTTCCAACGGGACATTTACAAAGTTACCACTATCCAACTAAATTTGATCAAATCCACGCATTTAAGAGGTTTCCAGTAAGAATCTACCACCTCTCCTCCCCTAAACTGGCTTCATTCCTTTTACTTAGTGAAAAAGTGCTTTCTAGAAGCCACTAGATTTCTGGTTTCTCTATAAAGCAGATCCGTCTCTGAATGGACTTTTTTCTTTCGACTTTTTGTTTTAAACAAAAGAAATAAGAAAAGGATGCGGTTAGGGGAGCGAGGAGCTGGGTGGCCGGATGAAGTACTGGTGTCTTTTTTGCAAGCAATGAATGATGCCCTACAAATCACTTACTCTCCTCCGAGATTCGGGAGGTGTGTGAACTACCATTCTGCCATTCGCATTGGTTCTTTGCGCCCCCGCTCCCCATCACATTTGTGACCTATACAGACACCGCAGCAAATTCTATCTTTTCCCCGTTTCCCAGGGCGGGGGGTGTCGCTTCTTTTCCATAGACTCATTCCTCTACCAAGAAAAACGCCTAGAGATTAGTGCGCTGGAGCCTCCCGGTGCTGACGTTAAAGTTAGACAATAACCTCGAGGTTTCTACAGAAACTCTTACTAGCTCCAAAATCTTCGTTCTGCTAGCCGGGGTGCAGAGGTCTGAGGGAGGTCGGTTTTGAAAAATGGACTTTGATCCGATCTGGTTACTGTAACCGGATCCCTAGGGAGCGGTCCCCGTCAGGGACTGGCCCGGCAGGCTCCCCCAAAGAGGCAACTCCACGCACGGGCACAAAGGGGGCGCAAAGCCGCCTAGACAAAAGGGCCCGGCTAAGTCTCGGAGGTTGGAGAGGGCGAGCCTGCGCGGGCCCTCCTGCAGGCGGAGACGCCACGGCGGGACCGTTGAGGGAGGGCCGAGGAGGGAGGCGGCGGTCCTGAACCGCCTCGCCCTGGCCAGACAAGACCGCGACCTGGGCCGTTACCCTCTGCCCGGACCGCGACCCCCTAGCGGAGCCAAGAATGTGGACCCGAGCCTGAGAGGCACCCGCAGCCCGACCCCACGCGCGTCCTGCTCACTTTCCCTTGCTAGCTAAACTCACCCAGGTCGCCGCCGCCGCCTCCTCAGACTCCACAGCAGTTTCCCCCGGAAATCCTACCTGGCCCGCAGGCCGCCCGGCTGCAGCCAGAGCCTTTGGCCCCCGGGGATGGGGAGAAAGGGAGCGGGCGGGACAGCTAGGGGTAGGAAGTGCCGCCGCGAAGGCTCACGGGACTTGTAGTCCCAGCAGGGCCCGCTGTGCAGAGAGCAGGACAAAATGGCGGGAACTGCAAGTCCTTTTCTCTCCGGGCGGTCGGTCCCTGTACGGCCTCTCTGGGTACGCGCCGCCGGCTGCCGGCGCCCTGCATGTACAAGAACTTTGGCAACGTTCTTGATACCGAGGGAGGCAAAGGGCCTTGGGCTTGGAAGGACAGGGTTCAATAGTGCTCCGAGAAGGGAACTGATAAAAGTGTGTGTGGTTTTAGAAAACTGTGTCCCTGTCTGAGCAAACTTCAATCATAATCTCCCCAAAAGAAAAAAACTATGTATTGAGGGCCAATTTGAGGTGCAAAAAATTTACAAGCAAGTTATCCTCAATTTTGTGTGTAAGAAACCCAGGAATCATTCTTGACATCTTCAAGCCACGAAGTCCAGTCAGTCTACGTCTCCAATATTTTAACTCCTTTCCATATCCTCCACTACCATCACCTAGTGGAAGCCACCATCATCATCCCTCTCCAAGTCTCACTAGTTTCCAGGCTATCACCCTCCAAACACCTTCCTTGCTGCTGCCAGAGGATCTTTCTAAATGCCAAACCCATTGTGCTACAACCCAAATTAGCCCTAAATATAAAACCTAAAGCTACAACACTTCTAGAAGACATCTTAGGAGAAAAATCTATGTCACTTTCAAATACACAATGCATAATATTTTTTTTTGAGACGGAGTCTCGCTCTGTCACCTGGGCTAGAGTGCCCTGGCGTCAACCTCGCTCACAGCAACCTCAAACTCCTGGGCTCAAGCCATCCTCCTGCCTCAGTATCCTCAGTAGCTGGGACTACAGGCGCGCACCACCATGCCCGGCTAATTTTTAGTTGCCCAGCTAATTTTTTTCTATTTTTAGTAGAGACGGGGTCTCGCTCTTGCTCAGGCTGGTCTAGAACTCCTGAGCTCAAATGATCCTCCCGCCTTGGCCTCCCAGAATGCTAGGATTACAGGCGTGAGCCACTGGCACCCAGCTTCAAATGATGTACTTTTTATTTCTGTAAGACCAACATCTTACAGAATCCAGAACTAAAGATAGCTACGAAGCAACAACAAAAAAAGGACATCTTACAGAGGTTATGAATTTAATAAATATCTGGATGAATCGCCCCCCCCATATAAAAATAAAATCAGGATGGTTGAACTGGATGATTTTACCATAGTTTCATATCCTGAGGTATCTCTCTTCCTTTCCAGCTGGGCAGGGCTCCACAAGCCTGGCAATTCTCCTGAGCTGAGAAAGTCAATGAATTGGCGAAGAATTAATTGGGCCAATCAGATGACAACATGCAAATGAGTGAGTGTGAATTTTTAAAGTCTCCTCACCATAGCTTTGAGTATTGTAAAATTTAAAGAAAGGATTTATGTTGCTGCCACCTGCAGGCCACATCTCTCAATATCAGGTTTATGGAAATACCCAGGGGGATTCTTCTCTCAGTTGAGTCCTTTGTAGGGCTCTGGATTGGAAAAAGAGTGATTCACAAATTTCTCCCTTTTCTCCCTCAGCCCACACTCTGCCACAAGCCAAAATTGGTAACAGGGGTTCCTAAAAGTGGGGACTGTCACCTCAGATTGCCTGAGTTTTAATCTTCTCTTTACTTTGGGTAAATCAGATACCCATTCTATACCTCAGTTTCTTCATCTATAAAATGGGGATGATAACAGTAGCTCCTTTATATAGGTGTTGTGAGGATTGAATTAGATCATGTAAAGTGTTTAGCACAATGCCTGACACATAGGGAACATAGAACAAATATTAATAGTTGTCATTGTTGGGCAGCGCTTCAGAGCCTCTCCTAGTCTTTTGTTGTTGTTCTTTTGTTTGTTTTTTGAGTCAAAGTCCCAGTCTGTCGCCCAGGCTGGAGTACAGTGACACAATTATAGCCCACTGCAGCCTTGAACTCCTGGGCTAAAGAGATCCTCCTGACTCAGCCTCTCAAGTAGCTAGGACTGCAGGTATGCACCACCACACCCAGCTTATTTTTTAATTTTTTGTAGAGACAGGTCTTGCTATGTTGCCGAGGCTGGCCCTCAAACTCCTGGCCTCCAATGATCCTTCCACCACGGCCTCCCAAAGTGCTGGGATTACAGGCATGAGCCACCACGCCCAGCTCCTATTCTAAACTGACAGATTATACCTTGACACACAGAAGTCCAGTGGAAGGACCTTTAACACCTGGTTCTACCACATACAGTTTGTGACCTTGGGCAAGTATCTTAACCTCCTTGAACCTTACTTGACCTCGATGATGGTTTTGGAGATTACATGAGATCATCTATGTAAAGCAACTAGATAGTGCCTGGCATGGAATGGACAGTTAATAAATGGAGTGATGATGGAGTGATGATTAACACAGAAATAGTTGCCAAGTATAGCTAAAGGTTGAACAGCACAGGTTGCAAACAGGCAGGCCACAGGTAGTCACTAACCTACAGATATTTTGGTTTGGCCCACAGTGTTTTACATTTTAAAAATTATTTGCCAGCATTAAAAACAGAAATTTCACATTTAAGTCCAGATTCTTAATTTCTCTTTAAAAATGTGAAGATCTGACACTATATATCACACCTGATCTATAAGGAAGGTGGCAGGAAGACCTAATTTCTTCCAAGGGAGCCAGGTATGAGACACAGAGGTTGAATGGGGTCAGCCTGATAAAGAGATAGGGGACAATGCTCCAAGCAGGGGGACTGGTGTGTCCAAAGGCCTTGGGTCAGGGAGTTCAGTGCCTCCAGGTAACCAGGTGGCTGGAGCACAGTGAGCAAGATGGTGTGCAGAAGATGAAGCTTCAATTGGCACCTTAAGGATTTTGGTCTTTATCTTGAGGACAAGTGTATTCTAAAGCTAGAAGCTAGGAGGTAGCCAACTGGTATAACAAATTGAGAAGGTAGGCAGGATCAGAATGGAGAAGGGTCAGGGGTCAGCAATTAGCAGATGAGAAAGTGGAGAAGTGCAAGGGCAGTACAGGATCTGCATCTAGAAACTCTGGGCATACGCAGGACAGCCTTTTAGGTGTGGTCTGGCAAAGG